CCTAATGGACAAATTTCCTTGCTGTTTCTATTGCTCAACCAAACCTTCAGGCAGAAGGGGAAGTAAAAACAGCAGTCTAAGCACAGCAGTAAAATATCCCTGTGAAATTACAACAGGATAAATGTAGAAATGCTGCTGAGATGAAATTTATCTTCCTTTCTCACAGAAAGATAATTCCAAGCTGCTGCAGTCCCTGTAACTCTTTGTGGGGAAGCAGGGGACTGTGCAGTACTGCTCGTCTTTTCAAAGTGAATAGTTAGTAGTCACAGAGAAGGGACAGGCTGTAATGCCATGGGTGACATGAAGTGGGTTGGTGTGGCATGAAGTGGGTTGGTGTGGCCTGACGTGGATTGGTTCCCACAGCCCACTTGCTGGGAGATGTGGTTTGGTGATGGCAGCAGGGCAATGCTTGGTAGAGACACTGCTGATGTGCTCTAGCAGGATACCTCAATGGATCTCACAGTGGGACAAGGTCAGTATCTCCTCCTGAGGGCAGTGCCTTTGGAGGGTCCCTCATTTCTTGCCTGGTGTTGCCAACGTTCCATTGTCTGGGGTCAGGCACCAAGTGCTGGGCTTGGCTTTGTTGTAGATCCCTGAGCACACCCTAAAGTAACACAACCAACTACCCTCCCTTTCCCAGGCCTTCCCTTTGGTACCATGAGTACTCCTCTGTGGATATGTGGTGATTTTGCACTCACAGGTCACTTTCACACAGTAGGGCAGACACCTTCAAAGGTCCATGATGCCTGATTAGAGGATGTATAGGCTGCCTGATGTCACTCACTGCTCTGCAGCCTTTGCAAATCATGGTCTGCTTGACGCTAAGACTGGATTTCACTAAGGATGGAGAAGTTTTCACCTTCTTCTGCTCCTAGCTAAGATCTTCCAAATTATTAATCATTGTACTAGATCTTTACTGGACATTTCTCAGGGCTAAAACAAGGTGTTCAAAATGGGATAAGCTATATACTGGGAATTAAATTGAAAAGCAAACTTACAGACTTTGTAATCCTTTTGGGAATCAGCCTATCTGAGCTTTCTCAATTTATTTTAAACAAATCAAATAAAAGAAGCTGGAACTGCAAAGAGAAACAACTTGGGTATTTCCCAGTGCAACTACATCCAAAAGAACAACCAAATTTATCCCTGAAACACATCTAGAAACACGAACAATTCTGCAAATACACTACACTTTTTAATTACCTTTTTTTTGTTGAGTGCCTTGTGGCTAGCACCGCTTGCAGTGACCAATCTGTGACACATATCTCAGAGCACAGGATTTTTCCATTAATGTAGTGCTCTGAATGTGCTTGTTGTGAAACACCAGCACACGTCACTGGCATTCACTTTGAGCCAAAGAGCATCTTTGATCACAATAATTTGATTTTCTCCCTTCTCCAAACATTACTTCTTATTTCCATTGTACTCTGTTCCTTGCAAAAGCAAAGCAAATTCTTGCAGTACATCAAGGGGGGAAATGCAGTTGGATAAACAAAATGAAAAGCAACACAAAAGTTCTATTTGATTAAATGAAGAAAAATCAAATTTCATGTATCAAGAAGAATGTTTCCAAGGCATCACATGGGAAACCCCACAGGCATATTAGCCCTTGTCCAACTAAGAAATATGCCATGTCCCCAACATTCCTACCATATCTCTGCAGTATGGTTTTTAAAGTAGCTTCTTGAGGTTGCTTGAGCATATCTAAAAACATGAACACTTTTTTCTTGAATCTGCCAGGTCAAGTACTAGAGACATGTATACTGATGCTGGGTGACATACATCTATTCAAATCCCTCCTGAAATAGAATCAGTATTAGCTAGATCCATTACCTCCTGCTTTATTGGCAGCTTGGGTGCTTGTTCAGAAAACAGTCCCTCCTAGTAATGTAATAAAGCCCCCACCTTGGAGATAATTAGGTTGTCTGTGATATAGAATCCACTGATGATCATTTCCCTGCTGATTTTGTCTTGCTACTCCAGCTCAGGTTGCTGTCTCCATCACTACAAGCTCTTACATTAGACCATCTGAGTCTCATCACCTAATAATTGCCATAGCAGATTTATTTAGGGTTTTTTGTTGTTGTTGCTTTACTCTTCTATAATAACAGCAACCAGCCAAACCTCAGAGTGTCATTAACATGCTTTTAAAAATGCACTAAAATGGCTTTGTCAATTACCTCGAGATTTAATATCCTGGCCACAACACAGCTATCCCTCACTCCAACCACAAATCCTTCCAGGAGCGCACACATGACACTGCCTTTCCCTGCAGTTGCTTTAGGTCTTCAGTGTACCCCTTTCCCTGCATTTCCTTTAGGTCCTCCGTGTACCCCAGAGGCTAGTGAATTCAACCTCCAAATTGGGAACAGAAGCAAGCTCCATAAATCCTATGAACAGCCTGACTTGGCCTTAGCAGCTCTTTCCTTACCACACCTTCCTGATGCCTTGATGGGTCCCCAATTTAAGCATTCTCACTTGCCATTAATTTCATTACTAATAAATGAGGAAACCACAGTTTGATGCACCTACTTCCTCTTAAATTCCCTCCCCTCATCCTGTGGTGCAACCTGTCCCAGAAGGTCCCACACATGCAAATTTTGTTTTACTATTGAATGCATTTGCCCTTCGTTTTGATCATTGAAAGGTAAGAGAAAACCAATCCAATCTGTTAGATACATCAGACAGTAAATGGTGGTCTCTATCTTAATAGGTGGGAATCCATCACTTTGCACATCCCCTGGGGCCTTAGGATCATCTTTCTAATTGCCTTCATGTCTTTAAACAAGAGTGGACTACTGGCAGTAACTCTGTGCAATATATAACAGATGAGACAACACTTGCTAGTCCTTAGCTAAAAAAATCCAGTATAAGTAGGAATATTTATTCCTCATTTTTAGGCATTTAAAACTAAACCTCATCCAGTGGAAATAAATACATAACTGAAACAGCAAGAGGCTGAAGAAGAAAGAACTGAGGCATAAAGTGAAAGTGGGTTTCCCTTAATGTCACAAACACCGACAGTTTTGATGTATTTGTCAAAACAAGTACAAGGACACTCGGTGTGCGTGTGGCATTTTCTTCTTCTTATACTCAAGAGCTGGAAATTTCTCCCCTGGCTATTTCAGTCTGTGACTCCCTCATGGGAATAGTTCCTCCATCGGAGGTTTCCTCCAGTCATGGCTTTCTTTCTGCGACACATTGCAATTTATTGACTTTCTAGGAAAGGAAGTAAGAGTGGGTTTGTTACCACACCTTGCTAGAGCCCAAGCCTTAACTCCATATGAGCTACCAATATATAGATACTCCATGGATATTGGATTGGTATTTAACTTTCCACCACTTGGACAATTTCAAAGCAGTAGTCTCTAAACTATGCTTCACAAACACCTATAATCTAATCAACTCTTTCAACATTGCTCATGACCTTAGCAGCCTTCCACCACCCCAGTTCAGGTCATCAGTGAGAACAACGTATAATATTTCATGACGTGCACAGCATTGTTGCTGGGCAGAACATTTTTTTTCTCAATATTATTGTCTATTGGTTAACAAAGGCTGAAGTTCACCAGAATATGTAGACTGCCAAATCCTGGGATCCCCGGGAAACATCCCAATAGTCTTGGAGTCCTGCCTGAGCCTGGATAAATGCAACGTATTACAACCAACAAAGAACTTAATTAATGGATGCTGACATTGTACCTCCTGTGGAACAAACAAAGAGGAAAGCATGGCCCTCTGCCCAAGGAGCTTACAGTCCAACTTAGGCTGGCAACAGAGATCAGACACACAAGACCCGCAGAGGGAAAACTGACACTGAGCTTTCCTTTTGTCTTATGTAAATACAGATGCAGACAGTGGCAGCAGAAAACAAAGCTTCTTTCCCCAGGACCCCATGGCTTTTCTTGCCTTCCTGTCCACAAGCAAGTTCAGATTTTATCTTCCCCTCATCTTCCTGCTGCCTCTCTGCACACACATGCCTTTTTTTCTCATTAGGTTCTTCCTAAGTTAAACCTTACATTTTTTTTGCAGTCCTCCACATTTAGTTCTACTAACTCAAAATAGCTCCCTCCAAAAGCAGATCATCTCACCTCCTCCCCTCACATAACCTAGGTCACCCATCTCCCTGGTTCAAGTGCTCATACATCCCACCAGTCTGAGGTATTTTCTTCCTTTTCCTACAATTCCTAATAGCCTACAATCTTTGCATGCCTTATAATCTCCTCTGACCACACAAGATTCCATCTCTCTCCATCCTATCTGAATCCTTTCATTTTCATCAAGATCATGAGAACTTGTCAAATAAAATCACACACTTTGACAGTGCACTTAGACCCTGAGGACTGGATGCAGGAGTACCCATTAGCATCTATAGATGACAGGATGCAAATAAAGCCCTTTATGCAGAGTGTGTTAGTATACCACAGGATCTGTTCACTGTCTATACACTAAGAAAAGGAAACACACACAGTCTACAAATATATCAAGTACAGACGTAGATCACAAATCAAACTTGAGTACCTTTCCACCTCCAAAGCTTGTTATTTTGGGGACTAGCAATTGTTGATTTGTTTATTTCCTTTGCCAAAGCCAGGAATTCATTACCAGTCTAAATCCCTCCAGCTTTTCTGTTTCCATTCCAGTTTCATTTCCCTTAAAATACTCTCCACTCAGCCAAAATGTTACTTAGTTTTCACTATTCTTTTACCAAGAAGTTTAAACGTATTGAAAAAGAACTGTAATAAGGCCCCTGAAGATTTTAGACCTGAATAAGTGACACACACAAACTTCTCTTCCCTGCAGTTCAGAAAACTGTATTACTATGCATAATACTGTCATTATCCTCTCTCCTATTATGCCTGACTTAAGGAAATCGAAATATCTGCTTCATGCTGGTGAGAAGTGGACAGAACAAATGGAAAGTGTAGGAAAAAATAAAATAAAATAAAATAATGGCAACAAAACCAAACCAGAAGTGAAGATATTTTTCAAGTACTTACCCAGCATCAGTGCTGTTGCCGCACAGTAACACATCTTCTGTACCATTTTTTATGAAGTAGTTCACTGCAACAGAAAGACAGAAAGAG